AGGGCCGAAGGTTATTTTTTAAAGATTTATTTATTTACTTATTTCTTTATGCATACAAGAACTGGGTACAGGCCAGAGAGAGGCACGGGGCAGTGAGAGGATTCCCCAGAGACAAAGTGGGGAGCAGAACAGGCAGATGGACTGAAATCCACTGCTGAGGGGAGCAGCAGGGAGACAGGAACAGCCTGCTGCGCCCTGTGGGTCAGTCACTCCATGGCCCTGGATCGAACTCCTGCTGCAGTGGCTGTGGACAGCTTCATAGTGTTGTGCTTTAACATGCTGCATCACCCGGGGGCCCAAGGCTTTGTTTTATTTTACGGGGGTTTTTTTGACAACTGATTTTTCAGAGAAAATATGCTCTCTTCATGTGTAATTTAGAAATTACACATTCCTAAAACCAGCCCGTGCTGCTGTGCATGGGACGCTCCTTCACATGAGGGTTTAAATGTGCCTGCATCTATGCCTGTCTTTCAGAGGAGGGATAAATCAAAAACTAATTTTAAAAAATGGTTACTTTATAGAAGGAACAAAGTGAAAGGATGAAAAGTTGGACTCCTCTGAGTAGAGCTGGTTTTCTAATTTTGACTATGAAACTCGTGTTTCATGTAATAATACAATTATATTCAAACGGGAACAAAAGCCGAGTCCGACCGCATGACGACCCCCTCCCCCAGGCGACTTCAAACACTGCTCCTCCTTGATTACAAGTACACAGTGGAGACCAGAAACCCTAGAAACTTCCACTGCCCACCTATCCCAAGTTCCTGAGTCGGCGGGAATGGATGACCCCTAACGCTCATTTCTGATGACTCCCCAGGTGAGGATGATTTTGCTGCCCGGGACGAGACGGACAGAAACGAGTATGTGGAACCTTCCAGGAGCGGCCACCCGCTGGTGATGTTACAGGTACGGGGATAAAGTAGCAGTCGCTGTGCCGGCGCCATCAGGGCCTTGGGCTTTGCTCTGAGAGGCCCACAGAAGGCAAACAAAAACCCAAACCATCTTAAATTCAAATTAGACATAGCCGAATAGGGGCCTCCCTGGTGGCGCCAGCCAGTGACCCCCAGGGCGCAGCAGACCGCTCCAGTCTCCCCGCTGCTCCCCTCAGCAGTGGATTTCAGTGGGCCCGCCTGTTCTGCTCCCAGCTCTGTCCCTGGGGAATCCTCACACACCCCCACCTCTGGTCCCCACGCCAGGCCTTATGTGTGTAAATAAATCTTAATAACAAATAGCAGTATATGCATTTAGGTTTCTCTTCTTTAAAAACCTGCTTATTTCCTTGCTTCTGCCATCAGGCCTCCATCAGGCCAGGAGGTGACACACACCCGCCGGGGGGACCAGGGGAGGGTAGCGCAGCGCACCCCCTCACCAAGCCATCCTTTCTGATGACTTCCCAGAAAAGGTCCAGGATCCATGGGGGACCCCGCGTCCAGGCGTGGGTCAAAGTGAGCTCGGGACACCTTGCCCGAAAGCTGAGGCTCCCAGGCCGCACCCTGGGCCAACCTCGAGGCCCTGCGGCCCGGGTGAGCATCACCATGGTGCCCGCGCTGGTTAAGCCTTGGCACATGTAAAAGGCCACGAGTTCAAGTTCCTCGCAAGTCTCACAAGCTGGTTCAGGGCTCAGGTCTGGAAAGGCAGGACCGCCCCCTCCCTGCTGAGGAGCTGGAGGGAATGAGGGAAAAGGGGCTTTCACCCTTCTACTCAGGCTCAAGTTTGGGGAGCCCAAATACAAGGGATTCCCACCTGATAAATGAATCACAGAACTATTTTTTTAATCCCTCCGGCACACACAGCCCCCTACCCCCCAGGAGGCTGGTGGGAATCTTGGGGGCCGGTCAGCCAAGATCCTGGTCGGCCGGCCCCGCCTCCCGACCCAGCTCCAATCTGCCTGGTTTCCCGTACAGATGTGTAGCACTTACTATCCATGAAACAGCGAAAAGCCCCAACTGTGCAGGGCCACCCAGTCCTTCCCCCGGGAGTGCTCTGTGAAGAAGTCACCCAACGTGGGTCTGAGTCTCCTTTGGACCCCGGGTGCCACTCACCACCCCTAGGCCGACCTGAGACAACTGGGGGTGCAGACGGGCGGCGGCCCTGAGAAACCACTCAGCTGTGAGCTGAAAAGTCCAGTCTGTAGACACACACTAGGATAAAATTAAACCGCGGCTGAGATTTGCTTTGCCTCTTTGCTGTGTGTGTTGGGGAGGGGAGAAGGGGGCTGGGGGCGCTGGCAGAAAGCTGGGCCAGTGGTGCTGACTGGACTGTCTGGGGTTGCCCTGGCCTCACCTCACTGCCGTGTGAGTGTGTGAGTGTGGGGTGGGGGCGGGTGGAGGGGGGAGGGTTGTACTAACAAAATATTAAATTCAGAAAACGGGAGCACAAAATAAAGAGACCAAAATCCAACATTGCAAAACACCAAATCTATATTTACATCCACATATAATAACATAACTTTAAGCTGAAATATATCATAAATAAAACAAGTAATGTCTACTGTTTGACAACTTAAGTATCGACAATTAAAATAAATCAAACTGGAGTGAAATAAATACATAAACAAAAACCCAACGGATTGTACCTCTACTGTACTGTTGTCTCAAAGGGAAGAAAGTGTACAAAACCAGTAGTATCCCAATAGTTAATACTGATGGACAAAAAATAAAAAATAAAAAGCAACCAACGTTTTGGATACAAGGGCTGTGGGACAAGCAACGACATCTGTATGCACTCAGAGTGGAGTTAGAAAAGAGAACTCCAAAAGCCCCGGAATTTCAGCATAACATGAATTGACTTGTTTTCAAATAGATTTGGTGATTTTTTTAAATACAGGTTTGAATTTCAGCCCTCTATCATCACACACCCTTAGATCAGCGTACAGGCACAGCAAGCTCTCCGCGACACTCACCCGCTTAGGCAAAGATCAAGTCAATCATCTGCAATTGTGTTAATCTTCAAAAATAGGCTATAAAAGTGCAAAACTAGGAAAACAAAAATCTAGATTATGTACATATGGCTCAGCTTGTGAACAGGAAAAGGCCGAGAGCGCCCACTTTCCTGATGCAAAGCACTTCTGCGGCGCCAGCAGACCCGACTCCCAGCGATCCCTCCGCGGGAGTTAAGACCAGCAGGCTTGCTTCACGTTGCATAATGGGGTAAAAACCAGGATTCTTTTAGGACTTTACTCTCGCTCGACGGAGAAGGGGAGGGCTTCAAGAAAAATGAACAGTGCAAATTTTTTTTGCAAGGTTTCGTAATAAAATATTTTGTGGCTGCTAAGCCCGTGAGCTGCCTAACTCGGGACGTGGACAGCGCTTTACGGGAACCAACGTCTAAAAGGTCAGGGAGCCGGCTGCGGCTCGCCTCTTTAAAAGCTAGCCTGCGTGTGCACCGAGAAAAACGTTGTTGCTTCAGAACAACCGAAAACGGGAAGGCAGCCGAGCTCGAAGCGGAGGGCCTGCCCGGACCCCAGAAGGCCCAGCCGAGCTCCTGGCTTGCTCGAGCGGCTCTAACTCACCTGAAGGGGTAACCCAACAGCCAGCAGCACCAGGCCTTCCAGATACAAACCTAAAACTGACCCTGCAACTTTCATTGCCTTTAAAATCACTTCCAGAATATGTAATTGACATATATCTTTTAGCACCCCACATCTCTGTGCTAAAGGGGGCCAATGCCCCCCCACCCCCTTTGAATTTGCCAACAAAAATGATTAATTTGCTAGAAAACAGCTGTAACTTTCCACCTATAATTTGGTACATTTTGCTGGGTATTTGGCTGTTCTGCAGAGGAAAAGCTTCCCGGCAGACACACACGCTCAAAACCCCACAAGCCACCCCACCCCCTCAGAAAAGCACCAGGTCCGGGTCGCTGACTCAGTGGGGTCAAGACTTCCATCAACAACTTTGTTATTAGGACAACAGACTGCAAAGGATTTAACATAATACAAATTATTGAGAATTTTAAAAAAAAAACAACATACATTTTAAACGAAGAGAGCACACGTAGCAGGAACTGCACCAAGGGGTGAGCGAGAGCAGAGCGAAGAACAGACAGGGCTTAATCAAGCAGGCTCCAGCTCGCTATGTACACACGTTACCTGAGGTGCAAGCACCCTGCACGGCGCCCGCCCGCCCCCACCCCGACGGTTTCTCTTCAGCAGCGCTCAAGTATGCAAAAGAACTCCACTTATTTGGTCGATTCTAAAAAAAATATTATTCAGGGGCAAAATAGAGATTTCCGGTCTCCATTTGTGTACAACCCAACTGTTCCAGCTATAGTTTTTATTGCTATTTGGTACAAAAGTCAACAGAACAACTTTACAAAACCGTAGTGTGTTCCTGGCACGTCGTATGTACAGCACAATCACAGCTTATTTCAGTAGCTTTCACCGTCCGCGTCCCGAGGGAGGAGCCAATCTAACTTCTTGGAGTACACACTTGCTTCGCAGGACCTGCGGGCGGGGAGAGCCGGGTCAGCGCGGCAGAAGCCGCTGAGGCCAAGCGGTCAGAGGGAAGAGGCCACCTCCTCCAGGCGGCCCGCCGC